TCTGCAGATATATTACATAATTATAAAATGCAATTAACAATTAAGAAAAAAAAGAGTGGCTGCATCCCCTCGCTCTCTCTTTTCCTCTCCTCCAACAAGCTTGTGGGCCACCTCTTCCCGATGATGTAAGCATAAGAGATAGGTCTGCCTGACCGCTTGCCTCCAAAGGGAGGCAAGAAATAAATTTGGGTTAAGCCACCGAAACGCTGTGGAAACTAGGACAGAGTGCACTGCCCAATATACCAGATGATGTAGTATGCTCTGGACCATGCTAAGCTCTCAGGACCTGTTGCTAGTATTATCTCTAACCTGAGGGCACAAAGGCAGCCAGGCCTCCTAGCAGCCCTGGAACCCAGACGGAATGAGAACCATTCAGACTTCCTGTCAGACTCATATCTCTTCCTCCCTTTGAACATGTTTTGTTTTTTTTTTTCCCCCCATATAGAGACCAGTTTTCTCTGTTTTTCTCTCATGATAAACAGAAACTAACTATCCCACAATTCATACATTTATATTTCCTCCATTCAAGAGACAAGTTCAGATATTGGCTGTCAGTCCTAAATCCCCTGAAGAAAGAATGTTATTGGCTTAGCTTGGGTCAAGTGTCTGTTCATAGTCTAACAATATGGTCACTGGGGGAGGGTCCCGTCCCCCTCCAGCCCCTGTCGTGAGTGGGGCAGGCAGCCATCCAAGAGCAGTCTCCAGCAGCCTGCAGAAGGCATGCCCTGCAGAATGACCCTAGTGGTGAGGTTATGGGTTCAGAGACCCAAAATAATAATGGTATAAACAAGAGAAAACAGTTTTTTCTGCTCCTTTGAAAAGGCATTTTAGAATTTGTATAGTGGGTGTAGTGAGTTGAATAGTGTCTCCCAAAAATTCATGTCCACATGGAACCTCAGAATGTGACCTTATTTGGAAATAGGGGATGTAATCAGTTAAGGATATCAAGATGAAATCGTCCTTGATTTAGGGTAAGTTCACATCCAATGACTGGTGTCTTTATGAGAGGAGGAGAGGAGGAATGCTTGGGGGGCTCAGTCAGTTAAGTGTCCAACTCTTGATTTTGGCTCAGGTCACGATCTCAGGGTCTTGAGATCCAGACTGTGTGGGGCTCCATGTTCAGCGGGGGAGTCTGCCTGAAGATTCTCTCCCTCTGCCCCTTCCCCCCACCCCCCCTCTAAAATAAATAAATAAATCTTTATAAAAAAAAAGAAGAAGAAGAAGAAGAGGAGAGGACCCAGGGAGATACACAGCAAAAGGCCGTGTGACAAGGGGGCAGAGATTGGAACGATGCTGCCACAAGCCAAGGAACAGCTGGGGCTCTAGAAGCTGGAAGAGGCAAGGAAAGATCCTTCCCTAGAGTCTTCGGACGGACCATGGCCCTGCTAATACCTTGATTTTGGACTTCTAGACCCCAGAACCGTGAAAGAATAAATTTCTGCTGTTTTGAGCCTCACGGATAGTGGTGATTTGTTGTGGCAGCCCCAGGAAACTAATTCAGTGTTTCTCTGGGCATCTGGGACCCAGGCTACTTCCAGCTTCTTTTCCATCATCCCTAGGAGGTAGCCCTCATCAGCATGGTCTGAGGCGGATCTCCAGTCTTCATATCCACTGAGCATTAGGATGGGAAGGAGGAAAAAAGGAGCTCACTTCCTCCTTTTAAGGACCTATCTTGTGGTAGCACCCACTTACATTCCACAACCAAGCCTAGCTACAAAGGTTGCTGAGTGGACAAAGGCTCAGCTAAAACTTAGGTTGCTATTACTGAGGAAGAAGAGGGGAAAAGATATTGGTAGGCAATGAACAGTTTCTACCCCAATGATGAAATACCTCTAACGGTTTTGGTTTTCATTTGTTTACTTCCTAGCCTCTTATTTTATATTTTAACAAAAAAATCGACAGACTTCTGGAAATTTTGCTGGATCTGGATGTTGAATAATGGACAGGGGCCACAGAAAATCAGTGGGAAAAGCATTCCAGCCCAAGAGGCAGCCTGAGCAAACACATGGAGACCTTCGCTGAAATTAATCACTTTGTCAGGAAAGTCTGGCCTGGCTCCCCAAATTAGGTTAACTCCCTCTGTCTCACACCCATCAGCCTTAAGTTCTCCTTTGTAGCACTCACTGTGCTTGTTCAAGTCTGTTGACCTGCTAAAGGAAAACTCATTAAGGTCAGAGACTGTGTCTGCCTTGATCACTCACCATGTCCCCAGCACCTGGTTTGGTACCCAGCACACAGTACGTGCTCAACAAATATTTGCAATCGAATGAATGTGGGGACTAAGGTAGGAGAGTGCATGTTTCAGCAAGATCAGGAACGCATATGACCAATACAGAGGCACATTAAGGAGCAGGCCAGAAGGAAGACTAACTAGAGACTAGAGCCAGATTTTGTGAGGAACGGAGTCTGCTACTTTTTTTAAAGCAGAGATTTGCTTTAAGATACTTAGTATGTATGGTACTAGTATATAGGATTTCTTCTTCTTCTTCATTTTAAGATTTTATTTATTTGTCAAAGAGCGAGAGAGCACAAGCAGGGGGAGCAGCACGCAGAGGGAGAAGCAGGCTCCCCGCTGAGCAAGGAGCCTGATGTGGGGTTCAATCCCAGGACCCTGGGATCATGACCTGAGCCGAAGGCAGACACTTAACTGACTGAGCCACCCAGGCGTCCCGGATTTCTTTTTTTATAATGGAAACAATGATACATATTTGGTAGAATGTTGGGTAGATGCAATGAGATCATAGTGCCTGGCTCATTAAAGGTACCCAGCTGACAGCAGCTACTACTAGAGGAGGGAAATGCTGGGGTACATAAATCAGTTCACTCGTTTATCTGGCAAATATTTCATGAGAGCCCCGAGTGAGTCTGTAAGAGGGTCACTCACCCTGCCTCTCCTCCAGGATGCACACCAATGGAATATATGTCCAAGAATCCCTAGCCAGATGGGAAACCAAAAGCCAACCCTCATGAAAGTTCCAGTAAAAGCTGCATTTGAACATGGCTTAAACCTAGGCCTAAGGGAGATTAGTCCTCCTCTCTCGCCACTGAACTGAATGGGCAGGGCCCATACGGCAAGCGTCGCTGGACCTATCCTCCCTGTCCCAGTCACAGTGGAGGTGTTTGGAATGAGAATGACAGATTCCCCTCTCCCCCACCCCCTCCCCCACCCCCCTGCGGAGGGTAGCTGTGTCACAGAGTGCTAACCACCAAGAGCATCATAGGTGAATTCAGGAAATGCAAGAAGGGTGGAGCCTGGGGCCCTGCCTTTAAGAGCAGTTACGTCCCCCCCACCCCCCACCTCCCCACTGATGTGAGGAGTGCTGTCAGACTGGCCACTTCTCCCCAGGAGGAAGCAATTAAAGCAGAGGAGAACAGCAGTGAGATTGTTTTCTCCAATATTCTTCCAAATGGGGAGAGAAGCAGGAATCTTCTTCCCTATGTCCTGGGCCTCAAGAGGAACTACAATTTTATCTGGTTCTCTCTAAGCTGCCAGGCATTCGAAGGTTGGGGAGGGGGTTCCTAGCTGAAGAAGAGGATGAACAAAGGTATGGAGCCATCAACGAGGATGGCAAGTCCAGAAAACAGTCTGTAGCTATTTTCGTGGAAAGCATAGTGAGTGTGCAGAGGAAGCAACAGAAGGATCTGAACAGGTGGGCAGGAACAAGATAGCGTGTCAAGACTTAGTAATTTAAAGAAACATGTCTGCTAGGGTCTCAATATTTGTGTCCTCCTCAAATTCATGTTTTGAACTCTGACCCCCAATGTGATGGTATTAGTAGGCGAGGTTTTGAGAGGTGATGAGGTCATGAGGTGGAGCCCTCATGAATGGGATTAGTGCCTTATAAAAGAGGCTCCAGAGAGATCTCTAGCCCCTTCCACCATGTGAGGACACAGCAAGAAGTCTGTAACCCAGACGAGGGCCCTCATCCAACCATGCTGGTGCCTTGATTTAGGACGCCCAGCCTCCAGAACTGTGAGAAAGAAAATTCTGTGAATTATAAGCTACCCAGTCTGTGGTACTTTGTTATATAGCAGTCTGGATGGACTGAGACAGAAATCAAAAATGAAAAGCAGACATCATACTTATCCATGAAATACTAGAGGCATTCTTATTAACTTAAGGAACAGGACAAGAAAGTCTGTTATTCCTGATATCTGGCATTTTTTTGGAGGTTCTAGATAATGCAAAACATGATAAAAAAAAGTAGGAGGCATAACAATTAGAAAAGATAAGACAAGCTTATCATCATTTACAGATATGATTACCTATCTCTTGCTCTATTACAGAAACCGCTGAATTGGAGACTGTATTAGTCAGCTCACGCTGCCATAACAAAATACCAGAGACTGGTGGCTTAAACAAAAGAAATTTATTTTCTCAAGTTCTGGAGGCTGGAAGGCCATATTCAAGGTGTCAGCAGGTTTGGATTTTCCTGAGGCCTCTCTCCTGGCTGCCTTCTGTGTCTTACATGGCCTTTTCTCTGTGTGAGCTCATCCCCGGTGTCTCTTACTCTTCTTATGGAGACAGGGCCCCACCCTTATGACTTAATTTACCTTAATTATCTCTCCATATGGCCAAATACAGTCACACTGAGGATTAGAGCTTTAATGTATGAATTTGGGGGAGATGCAATTCAGTTCATAGCAGAGACTAAGATCCCAGTTATGGCCATAACTGGGCTTCTGGATATCTTCTCTATTGAACTGATCTAAGAGAGGGGCGAGAATGGGAGAGAGACAGAGACACAATTCGAGCAAGCATGCTAAGCACTCCCTCCCCAGTCTCTCTACCTGCCCTTGGGAGGAGTGAGTGGGGAAGACAGGGAGCAGGTGTGTTATCCTCACAGTGGTTCTCAAGGCTGGCTGCGCATTCGAATAATGTGCGGAGCTTTACAAAGTTGTCAACTCCGGGACCCCACCCATAGAATTTTTTAGTTAATTGATCTGGGGGAGTCTGGGCTTGGGTACTTTTTTTTTTCATCAAGATATACTTCACATACCATAACATGTACTTTTTAAAAGTTGTGCGACTATCACTGATATCTAGTTCCAGAACATTTTTATCATTCCATAAAGAAGCCTTAGACCCCTCAACAGTCACTCCCCATTCCTCCTTCTCCCTACCCCCAGCAATCACCAATTTACTTTCTTTCTCTATAGATTTGCCTGTGGGGGACATTCATATAAACGGAATCATACAATATGTGGCCTTTTGTGTCTGGCTTTTTTCATGGGTTTGTGTATTTTTTTTGAATCTTGCTTATTGTACAGCCAGGGTTAAGCACCACTGGGCTAGCAGAAGTCCTATCCTGGAAAGGAGAGAACTTCCAGAGAAATTTCTCTGAGCCTCCCTTAGGGTGAGTCCACAGCAAAAGAGATTCCCAGCTGCTCCACCAGAAAAAGCTTGGTAAAGGGCTCTGACTGGCCAGCTGGGGCCACATGTTCACCCCTTGGTCAAACATGGTGGCCAGGGAATAATCACATGATCACTCCTTTGAACTTTAGCCTAAGAAAAATGGGGAATTGCTGAAGGATTTTACACAGGGGAGGACATAATCAGATTTAGAAACATTTACTTGTCCAAGCGGTTTAAATTACTAAGGAAAATCAATTAACCTTAAGACCCAGTGTAGTAAGAGTTTGACTCAATGATGCTACTAATAAAAAAAGATATGCTCTGTTATGAAGTGAATGCTTCTGTCCCCCCAGAATTCACATCTTGAAGCCCTACCCGCCCCCCACCATGTGATGATATTTGGAGGTAGAGCCTTGGGGATGCAATTAGGTTTAGATGAGGTCATAGGTGTGCCCCCCCCCCGCCCCATGATGGGATTAATGTCCTTCTAAGGAGAGGAAGAGAGATCAGAGCTCCCTCTCTACCACGTAAGAACATAGCAAGAAGACAGTTGTCTGCAAGCTGGAAGGAGCATCTTCATAGAACCCGCCCATGCGGGCACCCGGTTCTTGCTTTCCAGCCTTTAGAGCTGTGAGAAATACATTTCTATTGGTTAATCCACAGTATTTTGTCATGGAGCCTAACCTGACTAGGATATTCTCTAAATCCAGTTACCAATATATAGAAAATACAGAAGACAGGATCTAGTGAAATGACACCATGGGGATGCAATCAATAAAAATCCAGACCAGCAAACCCTACAGGACAGACCACAAGTTTCTATTTTTCTTTCAGTAAATAAACTGCAAGGAAAAGAGATGGAGAACCAACAAATGAAAAGACATTTAAAGACAGCAGTTGGGGCGCCTGGGTGGCTCAGTCAGTTAAGTGTCTGCCCTCAGTTCAGGTCATGATCTTGGGGTCCTGGGATCAAGCCCAATGTTGGGCTCCCTGAGGGAGCCTACTTCTCCCTTTGCCCCCACCCTTGTGCTCTCTCTCTCTCAAATAAATAAATAACATCTTAAGGAAAAAAAAGACACAGCAATCAATCACAATGTATGGATCTTACTTCGATCCTAATTTTTAAAAAATATATGACATTTATGAGACAGTTGGAAATATTAACACTAGATATTTAATGATGTAAAGAATTATTAATTCTTCTTAGGTGTGGTAATGGTATTTTAAAATCTCTATCTTTTAGAAATCCATACTGAAATATTTATGAATGAAATGATAGGATATATGGGCTTTGCTTCAAAATATTATGTGAGGGGGGAGTGGGTTGGGATAGGGATGGGGCAGGCCTGCCCTGGGTTGATGCTTGTTAGACCTGGAGGGGAAGGAACACAAGAACATTATAATCTGTCTCCTTTAGTGTATGTTCAAAATTCTGCATAACAAGAAGTTAAAAAGTAACAAAGTATGTATTTCTATTAAAGCTGTCCTGCCTTCATTGTTTGGTAGTGGTTTGAGTCTTTGTGTATACATAAAAGTACTAGCACTACATTTCTTTTAAAAAGGAGGAAGGAGGGACACCTGGCTGGCTCAGTCTGTAGAGCATGCGACTCTTGACCTTGGGGTCAGGAATTTGAGTCCCACATTGGGCGTAGAGCTTACTTTAAAAATAAATAAATGAATAATAAGGATAAATAAGAGGAAGGAAAAAACATTCTGGCTAGTGGGGGGGGGTTGGGGGGGGCGGCGGTGACTGGATTGGAGTTTGAAAAACTAAAGATACAGAGGCTGTTTGAATGACCCTAGGAATGAGGGTGGTGGCAGGAGGAGAAAGAAAAGGTACTTAGAAAGTAGAGCACTGGGTGTTTGGTATATTAAGAAATTATTGTCAATTCTTTTGTGTTGGGTATTTGGTTGGGTGTGGAGAGTGATGGAGAGACAGGTATTTGACTATGGTGTCCAGTTTCCAGCTTGGGCGAGTGGGTAGCGCCATCTGCAGAAGTAGAAAACAACAGGAGAGGAGAAAGTCTGAGGGAGAAGGTGATGAGTTCAAGTGTACACACAGTGACATCAACGTTCCTGTGGGACATCCAGGGGAGCTGTCCAGGTGGTTGAAGAGGTCTGGGAGGAGGTCAGGCAGATATATAAAGTTAGAACCAATCAGTGCAGAGCAGGTGATTGTGAGCATGTGGGAGAAGGAGATTGCCTGGGGAGGGACTAGAAAGGAAGAGAGGACTCCAGAGAAGAAAGGAAAATCTGGGTCCAGTGGAAGGCCGACTTCGAGAGGAGAGGTAGAGAAATGGGAGCCCACAAGACAGGCTAGAAGGAAGCAGATGAAGGACTGTCCATTTCATGGAAGTCATAGCAAAGGGAGCAGGAGAAGGGTCAATAGTTTCAAAAGCTGCTCAACATCCATATACAGAAGGAAATGGAACTCTCCATTGGATTCAACAACAAAGACGTTGTTTATGACCTCAGTGAGAGCAGCTTTCAGGCTGCCAAGCACATAAATGAATCGCCTTGGGTTAAAGAGTGGCATGGGAAGAAAACAAAGATGCTTCTCATGGCCTGTTCTTCTCCCCACCGTCCCTTCTAAGGGAGGGTATTCTGTCCATGATCCAGTGGCCCTAAAATAGTTGTATCCTGTAATATGAGGCCAGTGACCGAGGACTTGTCTCCTCAATTGAGGAAATTACCGGGCTAATTAAGTCCCATCTCTCTTGGGCATCGTCTGTTGGCAGTGGGAGCCAAAGATCCTGAGGCTGCCTGGCGCTGGAGTGGTCATTATGGGGTGGTGCTGGATGAGAAGTAGAAAGAGGGGGAGAAAGGAAGAGATGTCCAGAGAGAAAGAGAGGAAGAGAGAGGAAAGGAGGGGAGGGAAGGGGAGATGAGGAGTATCTGATCCTGATGGGCTTGCAGTCCCCATTCCAAGTTTCTAGGAGACCAGCTGGGCTTCAGCTATGAGACCATGTGCTTCTAGACTTGCACAAGGCTTGCAAGGGCAGGGGCAGCTCCCCTGAGCCAGCCAGACAGGTTTCTACTGGGAGTCAGAAAGCAGAGCTGGCGAGTGTAGACAACTCCTTCAAGAAATTTGGCTTTGCAAGGGAGGAGAGGGGTGGGGCAAGAACGGGATAGAGTGATGAGAGTAACCTGAAGATATTTTGGATGCTGCTGGGAAAAACAAGAGAGAGAGAGAGAGAGAGAGAAGTTGAATGCATAAGAGAGCTGGGAAAATGGTAAAGCAGGATCTCAGGAGGGGTGCGTGGTGCGACCATCCTCAAACAGAACCCTTAAGCTCAGCATCCTTGGCACCAATGCATGGGGCTCTGCACCCCCCAGGACAGGGTGGGTCCCCTGCCCTCGGCCCTTCAGCTCATGCCTCCTCATGTGGTAGGAGGGGCGCCTCAATGACCCTGGTGCCCTTAGCCCACTGTGCCTTTCTATCAGGCCTTTAGCAGCTCAGGTTTGATGTGTAATATATCATATCAAATGCCTCTCAGACTTGCTGAGCCCCCGCCTGCAGGCATCTGATTGCTGTATGTGATTGCTTACCGTTGATTTAAGTAGCCCCTGAGCTTCAAAGGTCCAGTGCTAAATTCCGGCTGTTTCTAGCTATATCATTCAAGATCTGTGCTCTATGATACAGCTCACTTAAACTTTATAAACACTGGTCTTTAACAGATGGGTTGGGGAATAAAAAACAATGTTCATCTGTGTATGTGATATAAAACAAGGAATGAGGGATTGATGCTAAGGAAACTGCCATTCATCTTTACTTACTCATATTACAAAGGAAACCCGTAGTTTTCCCCCAAAGTTGAAAGAGTCCTGAAATGTAGGACTTACAAAGTAAAAGTTTTCTGTATTTCATTTCCAGAGAAAATGTCTATTTATAATCTGACATGTTTCCCAGACCTGAGAGGACTAACATAAGATACATACACAAACGCAACCTAAATGCTGTAATTAACCTTCTCTTCTACAGCTTGCTTTTTCACTTAACAATACTCGAAAGTGAATATATGGCCTAATAATTGTGTAAAGTATATATGCATAGAAAAAAATAATAAAAAGAAATATAATGCGAATAGCAATTATCCCTGGGTGTTTACAGCATGGAAAAATTTTTTTCTTTATATGTATTTTTTGTATTCTAAAGTTTTTGCAATGGAAGTACATTACTTCTAAAAACAGAATATATCTATATATGAGTATACATACATATGTGTGTATAATTGATATATATACATATTATACTTATATATATGTATAGTACACCTGCAGAGGCAGAAATGATGAATTCTGTATATCCTGATTAGTTTCTCATTGGAACAGGTTGTTTGTATTTCTACTAATGTTGATGTCACTACAGAAGTCCATTGATATTTATGGTGAAATGTGGGCCAGAGTCTTTAGAAACCAAGCCTCCTTTCCATGTTGCTGAACCATGGCTTACCCCTTCACTCACATCCTGTTGCCATCATCATCTTGCTGGGAGGGTCTCCACAGCAGGAGGCAATTATAGATGGGGAAAGAAATTATGTCACAGACTCAAGTGGCCTGCCGGACAAGCCCAAGGATTAACATTTGTGGGTCAGAAAGAGGAACGAATGCAAGTCAGAAATGTATCAGTTCAGGTGCATTTACAAGTGACATACAAGACAAAACAAATAAAATGCATTGGTTTACACACTGAAAAGTCCAGGAGTAGAGAGCCGTCAGGCATGGTTGGATCCAGGGATTCAAATTAAGTTATTAGAACTTGGTCTCACTCCACCTCTCCACTTTGTTTTCCTCTGATCAACTTCATTTGGGGGACTGTTTTCTCTGCATGGTGATCCCTGGAAACTCCAGGTTCTCCTAAAAAAGACAGATTCTCAAAGCTTCAGCAAAAACCACTGAGCTGATGCTGGAACTCTAATTGGCTAAGCCTGAGAAACGGTACGGAGGGGAGGGAGTTCAGCTCCATCTGAGCCACGTGGGCTAAGAGTGGAAGATCAGAGTTTTCCCAAATTAAAACTGAGGTTCTTCTGTTAGCAGAAGAAGGGGAAAGTGTGAGCAGGCAACATCATCAAATGCCCACACTGGTGATCTGGTTTATTCTGAGATCTGCCATCACCTGTGGGGAAGTCACCTGAGCTCTCTGAACACTGACATCCACATCTGAAAATAAGAGGGCTGTACCAAATATCTCCAATGTCTCTCCCAGCTGGAAGGAGTCAGGGATAAAAAAAAAACAAAGAAAGAAAAGAAAAAAAAATATTAATTTCTATAGTGATTATGCTTAAAACAAATTTTTTCCCAAAAAAAGACTGAAAATGAAGCCCTAGTGACCAAGGGATCTATATGGAAAGAAACAGCCTGTAATGTAAGAAATTGCCCCTCCCCCCACAGAGTGTTAGCTGTTGAGCCTTGTCCAGAGGTCAGGCCAAGCGTCTGATCTTCACAGGCAGTGGGAGTAAAAACAAGGACAAGTACTAACAGGGGGCCTCCATGTCCGACAGGCTTGAGCTCAGGTCCCAAGATCCATCCTATCCACTGCATGCATGCCAGTGTTCACTCCATCTTGACCTCCAATTTGGAGGATCTTGTCTAATGTGCATATGTGTAACTTGCCACTTCCCTGCTCAACGGAATTTGATAGCTCCCTGTCCCCAAACTGGGCAAAAGATCTCACCTTGAATTTTAAGGCAAGTATGGTCCCCACGTAACCTGACAGACATGCCTACCTCTACCGCTTTGCATATATTCTGTGCTCTAGCGACTCCAGACAGCTCACCGGGGAACTTCTCCCCATCAAGGCCCTGAAATTACCTCTTTCTTTTTCAACCTTCCCTACTAGATCGGCCCAAAGGAACATGGGGGGATGGACTGAGTCTTGTTTGCTGATGGACATCTGGCTCTTAGTCCGGGGTCTGGTATAGAGCAGGCTCTCAATCATTGCTGAATAAAAATTTCCCTGAATGTACTTCATACATTTTCCCGGCAGGCCTTTTTGTTCATGTTACCCCTGCTCCCCTAGAAGATGCTCAAAGGCTTAACTAGATTCCCCTAATCTACTGTCCTCTCTCTCTACGAATCACTCATAGGAGTCCCGATTACATCTGCATCTTATCAGCACATTATGTTCTGCCATACATTGCCCCGGCACCCTGCATCCAAACTCCTGCTTCACTTGTTCTATTGCCAATCACCCCCTCACCCCTGCTGGGCTGAGACGAGCTCCCTGAAGGCAAAGGATACGCCTTATCCATCTCTTATCCCAGGCTTACACTCTCTGTGTCTTAGCAGCAAGAATAATGTCTGCCACATGGTATCACTAATACTGGCCCCTCTTCTGTGTGCTGGAGTGCTTCTTGCCAAAATATTGAGGGGAGAGTGAAGACGGAAATCAGAGATTCAGTCCTACTTCCTCCCAATTCAGACTGCCCTCAGGTAATAGGACTCTCCAAGTCTGGTGATGCCCTGTGGTACCTCAATGGCCGGGGTGGGAGAGGAGAATTCAGCTGCCACGCGATTGGAGACACCTCCCAGTTGATCCGAAAGTGCTTTTTGCCTGCCCTTTTGCTTGCCTCCTAGCCTTTGCTGACTCAAACAGGACTGAGCTACGACGGAGGCTCTCAGAGCAGCCACGCGTCGTCTTCAGAGGAAGAACTAAAAGAAACATCGGCACGTGTGCAGGAACCTTGACCACCATAGAAGAAAGGTCTTAGAACATTAGGCCTCTGGAAGGAGGGGACCCACATAGACACTCCTTGCCCAGTTCTGATGCGTGGGTTTTTTCCATACCACCCACCAAGCCATTCTCCCTCAGCAACTGGGTGTCCTACATGGTTCAGCTCAATTCGGATGCCACAGACCTGGAGAGGGCGTCGGATTGCACAGGTCAAGGGTTCAGTCCTACGAGACAGCCCTCCCCAACCCCCCACTTCAGATACCAAGCACAAGTGCAGACTATCAGCTGTGCTTTTGGCCAAGACTATCAGCTGTGCTTTTGGCTACAGATTGGAGGTTCCCGTGACCCCTCCTTGGGTTCAATTAATTTGCTATAGTGGCTCACAGAGCTCAGAGACTTAACATTTTACTTCCTAGATTAGTGGCTTATTATAAAAGGATATAACTCAGAAACAGCCAGATGGAAGAGATACAAGGTATGGGGAAAGGGCACTCTTCTTCTGTGCACTCTCCAAGTGGAACACTCTCCCCAAATCTCCACATGTTCACCAACTGGGAAGCTCCCCAGACTCCCTCCTTTTGGGTTGTTATGGAGGCTTCCTTATGCAGGCATGATCGGTTAAATCACTGGTCACTGGTGACCTGAATGCAGTCTCCAGCCCCTCTCCCCTCCCCAGAGGTCTGGGAGTGGGTCTGAAAGCTCCACCTCCTTGATTAGGGTGTTCCTCTAGTGACCAGTCCCCATCCTTAGGTGGCTTTCCAAAAATCACCTCGTTCACATAACAAAAGACACCTTTATAGCTCTCCCCACTTAGAAAATCCCAAGTGTTTAAGAACTAACTGTGCCAGGAACAGAGTCGAAGACCAAATATGTATTTATTATAAATCACAACATCATAGCCTCTTTCTTCCGGAACCCTCTCTTTCATGCAACTAGACCTGATGCCCTCTCAGAAACCCTCCCCTCTTCACAGGAGTAAGGCTGTTGTCCAATCTGGTTGATTTTTTTTTTTCTTTCTACTTATCCCGTCAATTCCTGAGAAATGTGTCCTAAAATCTCCCACTATGATTGTGGCTTTGTCTTTTTATGTCTGTCAACTTTATCAACTCTTTAGAATGATTTATTAGGTGCTGGATGTCGTGTACGAAAAACCATGTATATAAATTGAGGCTGTAGGTGATGGTGAGATTTATTTTTGCCTCTAGCAGGCAGTTAGGGTCTGGGCAGATACCCTTAAACTCTGGTTTTAAAACAGAAGCAATTTTGCCCACCAGGGGGCATTTGGCAATGTCTGGAGACACTTTGGGCTGTGCGAACTTGGTGGGTGGGGGGGGTGCTACTGGCAGCTAGTGGGTGGAGGCCAGGGAGGCTGCTAAACGTTCTACAATGCATGGGACCTTCCCCACACCGAGAATTAGCTGGCACAAAATGACAAGAGCACTGTGGTTAAGCTTAATCCAACCAAAAATCAAGCTGATTAGAAACTGGGCTTCAATCCTTGTGAGGGTTTTTCTATTGTTACCTGTCTCTTGGGAAGTCCCAGCTGAAAGCCTGAGGGGTTTACTTAGGTTCCGCCTCCTTGGTGGCCGTGAACTCCAATTTTTGTCTCTTTAGCATAAAACATTGGAAGCGTCTTTGCCTCTTGAGAATGGGCAAATGCCTCAAAGCTGATCTCTCTGCTAACCCTTCTCTCCAGGATCTTGGCCCTCAAATCCTCATCCCTTGGTAGCTCACTTTCAAACATACATCTTATTATATGTTTAGTGCAGCTTTTCTAGCCTTTCTTGATAGGAGGGTTGAACTGCCAATCTACCTCAGTGGCATCACTTCTCTCCACAGAAAGAAGTTGCCTCTCACTCTTTTCTTGCATTTTTCAAATGCAGGCTTTAGACTCTACCATCATGTTCCGTCTCTTCTCTGTCCATACTTTGCTCATTCTGCAGAGAGGGAGGCAGCTCTGGTTCCAAGAGGGGGAATGATGATGGGTGCTCTGATTTCCCATAATTACTGCCACCAGCAAGGGCTATGGGAGACAAGGTGGTGGTGGTGGTGTGTGTGGGGGGGGATGTTTTTCTCACAAGTTATCTAAGAAACAAACATGCCTCATTGTTGATGTTTCCATTCTCATACAAGGGTAAAATGGTCCAGTCTCATACAAGGAAATCCAATTGTTTCCTATCAACATTATTTTGATCCCTCTCCTTATGAAAGAATAAACCTGGCATTAAAGTGCTTGAGAACATTTGCCTTTTCCCTCACACTCTGGCTTACGTTGCTAGAAAACCAACCAAAATGTGACTGGGCCAGATCTCAGATGGGTGTTGTCAGTTTCTATTATTAGAATGGAATGTTAATCAAATCGTGAATTCAATTATTTCTGATTCACAAATCTCCCCGATTTTAGAAAATGGGGGTGTTTCTTTCATCCATGGCATGGAAAAGTAAATGAGTGCACATCTGTGTTCTAATCTTTAGACCAGCACTACATCTCTGCACTTGCTCCTCTTACTTGGTTTCCAAATACGACCTTAGTCTCTGTTGATGTATCATTTGTATTATAATAAATAATAATAAGAAGAAAACAATGAAAGGGATAATTCATTCCGAAATGGAGCCCCTAATCATAGGAATGATTTCCGGAGAAAGTGGTAAAGTATTCTTTTGGGTTGGGGTAAAAATGGAAGGCACAGTCATCAGTTGCCCCCTACTGGTCAACAGGGGCTACCTCGCCTCAGATTTTAATAATTTGTGTGGTTGAATTCTATGTAAGAATCACAGAACTGAAGCAGTGTCATGAGTCCAAGGGGAAGTGGCTTGCTGAAACACACAGTGAGTTACTGGGGGTGCTGGGATGAAGAGCCAGGATCTGAGGACCCCAGGGACCAATTTAACAGCCACAGTCCACCGAGGCCAGAGGCCAAGCCAGTCTTAACCTGTACTCTAGATTCATCTCCCACCCCTACCCCCCGGGGTGATTTCACCCCTTTCAATAGCTTTGGTAAAGCCTTAGCTCTAAAGAAAGATTCTGAGTTTCACATTGTAATGTATCACAAAAAATCATATTTATCCAAAATCAGCCATTTCAGCCACACATTTTGTACTAATTAATAATAAGTTATTCTTGGGACCCACTTCCTCCCTTCCAACCTACCTCCTCCTCTCTCTCTCTCTTCCTCTCTCTCTTTTGTGCCATTCTAAGAAAATGTATCCTTAAAACTTCATGAAATAATCACAAAATGTCATTTTATTTTTAAACTATGTATTTTCTGATATCTTGATCATTAGGGTGAATGTAGTGAACAAAAAATCAAAACGGAAGGGTTACAATATTTTTAACATTTTTAAATCCTGAGGGTTTAAAAATGTATTTAGGATAATGATCTTTTTTGTTTGAAAGGACTTTATGACCCAGTAATTTGTCAAAATTACCTCCAAAAATGTTAATATAATTGGACGCCTGTTGGGAGAAATTTCTAAATCATGCCAGCTGCTTCTATGTCAGAGTCACCTCAGAACTTTTTTTTTTTTTTTTACCCAGTCACCTCAGAACTTTTTTTTTTTTACCCAGAGTCACCTCAGAACTTGCATTATTCGGGTAAGAATCTTTGTGTGGATTCTTTTAATTATGAAAATGTAGGGCAGGGAGGCCCTCGTTGCCCTGAGTGGAAAGTGGCATAAATCTTTTTGAAAGAGTGGAGAAAGCCCGCCCCCGCCCTTAGTACCTCTTGACGAGCAAATCTGGTTGCCAGGGAGTGGAAACGTGTCTTAATAGTCAAGGAGACTTCTGGAGGCAAAAAGCTCCAGATCGCAACCCTTTCTCTCTGAGATTCAAAGACGGGAAAAGCTGTTGGGAGAGACACAGGGTCACTGACAGAAAGGGATACAGCAGCTCCCGAGGGAAACTCTGTGAGAGAAATCAGAAATGGGGAGAACAGGGGTTTCGGGGTGTGAGGGTGGGAGGTGGGAGGGAGCTTGGTGAGGGTTCATGAAAGGACATACTTGGAGGCCCAGATGCCCACAGGTAAAACAATCGTTGACAGTATTGGCTGGGTTCTGTTAAAGTTGGCTAACACTCTTGTTCAGGTGAAGGTATTCAGAAAAGTCTTGTTATGGTGACAAGCCCCTCCTCAGCATCACACCTAGAGGGAATGTGCAGCCCAGTGGAGGGCTTCTCAGGGCCCCTCCTGGTTTTGCCACTTGACAAGTGCCCCAGATTCACAGGCTCCTCTGTTAGCAGAACATCTTTTGCACATCATCCTAGAACC